TCTGTTTCCTTTTTTAAATGTTAAAACTGTTAAAAATGTTTTAACTGTATGCCCGTTTTTAAATTGGTAACTTAGAAACATATTATCAGTTGTGGATTTAAGTTTTGAAAGTTACGATTAATATCTACATTGCACATGAAGAAACATAGGTTTCATTGAATTATATTGATTGTGGTTTTGTCAAAAGTAAGGGCAATTTTGTAGTTTCAGTGATTTATTTAAAAAGTTATTATTTTAAAATATACGATAAATAAATTCAATAAATATAGACTATTCTGTATATTTTTATGTACTGTATAAATGATAAATGTATATAGTATTATGTAAATTTTAATATATTTTTTATTAATTATTGTGTTTATATAGTGTATAATATTACGTGGTTGAAGCCAAGTACCTATTGTTTTTAACTTCGTTAAAGTTTCTTTTTAGAGAATTTATGCTATTTTTAAGGTATTTATTTGTATGCCCATTCCTATTGCCAAGTTGTATTAGGTACTATAAGTAGGTATTTCTATCAATGTGAAATGGGCTTGGAGGTAATGGGCTGGCGAATGCGGGTTTTGGCCTTTTGTTCCTTTTGTTCCTTTCCGACTCCTGGTGTATTAAATTATACACTTCTTGATCTGTTTTGTTAATGTTATGTTATAATATTATAATGTTAAGTGTTGACAGTAATTCGGTATTGTTGTCTCGGGTAAGTGGATTTTCTATAGTAGACACTCGATGTGTGGTAGAGTGTGACGTGCAATGTTAGTTTATTATTTACTATTCATGTTTTTATTTTATAATTAGGCATTTGACGCCAAATATTTTGGGTATTACAAACTACATTTTTTAAATAAAACCGATAAGGTGATAATTTATATAACATTTGTATGTGAATGACAATAAATTGTGTCCACGAAATGACCGGCATAACAGGTAATGAGCATTGTTATAATATTATATTCGAGGTTAATGTCTTCATTAATATGTTGACAATTTTTTTTGTGCTCAAGCCAGATTTTTTGCCATATTTTTAATATATTTTTTTCAAATCGCTTATTATTTTGGCTGCATCTAAATCGAGTCGCCGGCCCTAGTGTTTCTGACAGGTACTATACACTAGTAATTAGTGTTGGGTTCTAAATAATTTTGGTTGATCAACTAACATGGTTCCAGGTTTCATTAGGTAGTACAGTAGTTTGGACCAAATTTTTAGAAGCGATATAAGACATTTCCCATCTCGTATTTTTACCGAACTATAAGAATGTCTATGATTTTTAAAGCCTAATAAATCACAGGCGTGGTTAAAAATAATTAATTTTTCCACATCCATAAGTGCTGCTGAGACATGCATTTTTTACTGAATCTTCAAAACAGAATTGGAATAAATTTAAAAATATTTTGGCTATCTTTTTGCAGTTTATAAACATTCACATTCACATTTGACGTTTTTGTTTTTTTTTTTCGATTTATCATGATATTTTTGCTTTCGAGTAAAAACAATTGAAAATTGAATATACAAGGTTTCTCATAAACCAATGTATTAAAAAAAAGGTTAATCGACAGCGACAGGCGACCGACCGATCAATCGTTATAGGTAACACTATTATCGGTCGATCGTATTCATTATCAAGATACAATTCATAAAAAAGTTTGTTGAAAATAAAATCAACGGAAAATTGTTATGCAGGCTGCGTTATTACCACGGTCACGTTGTATCACGTACTTCATTGCTTTACCACTGAAATATTTTTTCAATTGTCATTTATAACTCGACCGTCATCATTATAAATTGTAATATTATAAATATATATTTAACTATAGTGTACTTGTAGCTTAAAAAGAAATTCATGGTTAGATATTAAAAATGGATGGTTTCGATTGCCGATCCCGTGTATCCTTAAAGTTTAAATGTTATAACGCAGAAGCTCATTAGTTGAAATAAATTGAACAACCCTGACGGTTAGTAGCTATTGGTTAGATAGTTATGGCACAAAACTATACTTACTTGTAGATACTTAATTACATAATAGAATAGTTTTCTTTTATTTTATTTTAAATTAAAATGTTTAGGTTTATCATTTCTACGACACTTATTAGTTATTTGCTAGTAAACAATTTCAGTAGGTAAGTTTAGTGTATATGATTAAATGATTAAACGGTCTTGGTAGGTTATAGGCTTTTGATTTAATTTAGTTATAAGGTGACTTTAATTTATAGTGCTTAAAGAATTTTAGATCGAAGTTGGAAGCGCACAGGAATATTTGGGGCTATGCGTTAATCAGTGGTACGATGAGCTATTATAAACCGAGACTTTCACTAAAACATCCACCAAATCATATATATATATTTTTTACATATAAATATATGATCGGTTACTTTAGATAAAAGCGTAGGTTATAAATTCAAATTCTACGTTTGATGTTCATCATTCGGTATATTATTATTTATTATACATAGGGAAATTGCATCTTATTCACTATAGTCAAAGGTGCGTGTGATGGCATAATAAAATAGAGCCATGGACGCGAACCATATGAATATGTGATTAATAATTATGAATTGTCTCAATTTAAATAAAAAAAGTGATGAATGATAAAATACAAAGTTTTTTTACATGGTAGGTACTTATAAATTAGTTGCAGGCATAAGGGTAAGGAGTACCAGCAGCATTATTGCACGTACACAATTGTACATTTCACCTTGTAGCTATATATATATATATTAAGATGATCGATTTTCCAGTTTCCTATTATATTCAGTTCTTAGTTGTACATCTGTGGTTCGTTGCGGGTAACAAGCTATGATAAAAATAGATTCACGTTTTCAGCAAATACGAATCGGATGTGAGTATGTATATAATACTATGAATATAATCAAAGTCAAGTTTGTTCTATTCGTGTGTCCTAAAAGGTTAATAACTGAAGTTATCGAATACAGTAATAAGTGATGCTGGACAAGTATAACCATGTAATGTATACATTATAATATGATCTTGATTCGTACAGAAATGATTGTTTTTGAACATTTTGATAGCAATATTGTAGATCGAATTGTGTAAACGTAAACTATTGTTGTTGATGAAGTAAAGAATTTAATATGCGAACTTATGCAATATGGTCATACCATCCGCATATTCACCTACCACGTTTACCACTGACCACTAAAGCTGTCCATTTAAGCATTCGAACATCAGAACGATTTTGTAGGTACTTAATACCTCTTTCAGCCGTATTATATAAAAATCTTATATATATTATTATGTTATAATGAAAAATATGCTCAAGTATAATAAAAAAAATGTGCAGATAATATGTTCCTCTTTCAGCTATATTCAATAAAAAATCTTATATATATTATTATTTTATAATGAAAAATATGTTTATGATCAAAATATGTGCTACGATTATGTTATGGAGTATGTGAGTAGTCGTCGAACAACACCCTCAGAGCAAACCTATAAGAATATAATATTATTATAATACAATATTATTGTTATTTTATGGAACACCTATCACATTCAAATTTTTTTTTCGTGTTCATTATTCTACAAGAAATATAATTTTCAAAAGTCACTAACACAATAGTACTTAATTAATGTAAAGAGTGTTATAATATAGTACCTCCAAAAATGTATACAATTATTGAAATTATTTTTTGATGAACAATGTTTACTGAACATGTTAAAAAAATAATTAGATATTCAAGACTTAAGTTGTACTTTGATTAGTTTTTAAGTGGACTCTGTCTGGGCTAAAACAATACGAGCCAAAACCACTGTCTTCTCAGTGAACCGAGTCGTTTCTGAGATAAAAATATTCAGTTGAACATTTTTTTCTACAAAACGAGTGCCTCCGCAATTATCGACGAATAGAAGAAATTATTCCCTTTTACTCGCATACGTCAAAATTAAATCGGACGGACAATGTACATTTCACACGTATCATGTTAACGCGGATATAAATAATCCACATATTATCTACAGTTATGGTTGGAAACACATATGAATTTATGAGCACGATTGACTTGTGAATTTAGTATGTTGATCGTCCATCGAAATTCACATGATTTATTCGATTGTCTTATCATGCGGTAAATTGCGTACCTGGGTTGAAGGAAAAATAATAATTTGAGGTTACCGTTAGAAGTTCGGGTTTCTTTAAATTTAATCTTTTTTCAAGGTATAATATAATACATAATATTTATATCACAATGTATAAATCTTAAAACTGTTATCTGCTCCCATCAATATTGGCATTAAATCCCTAATATAAGTCAGAATAAGGTAATTGTATTCCTTACAATTCTAAAACATTTTTTATATTAAATACTATGTTCAGTCATTTTTAATACAATGACATTTTTTATTATTCTTAGGTATCATTTAAAAAGTAAGATTGAAAATAATTTCAAACAATACTGGTCAGCATTTCAATTGTCTTTTAAGATTAAAAACACGGTACTATCTATATAAAGAGATTTTCCATCACAACGTTCTGTAAATATGCGTTTCTTGAACATATATTGTTTGGACTTTTAACATAGTTCTGCGTACCGCTGAAAATGATTGTTACTGTTCTGACTGCCTTTGAACAAATGCATTTTTCGTTCAAATGTGATCTGGTATTTTCAATTTTTTTTAAAGCTCCTTTTATTGCGATCTCGACAGGCAATGTTTGATGGTTGAACTTTTGAAGAAAGAGCTTTTTATATTACATTCTTTTTAGATTTTACGCATATTTTTCAATTCAAGATTTTACTGGAATAATTATATTTTATTGTATGTCAGTAAAAAATGGTTACAACTATTTGCAAGATCTGAAACCTTTGTTAATTTGTTATGATATTTTAAATGTTTAACTTGGTAAATGGCCACTGTTAAATTGAAAATACTGACAATTTTATATTATTATATTTTAAACTAAAAACATGTTTGCTTGAAATCTTACAGTAAGAATATTATGTGGCGATGCAAGTTGCTAATAATTATGTTTTTTATTGTTCGGTTCTAGGCACCTATGTGAACATATTTTGATTGACGATAATCAGTATTGTGTATTATCACAGTGAAAACAGTGTCGCGAATAATGCCCTCGACGGACGACGCTGTGAAGCGATATGGAATTACCGAGAGACCACTCAAACATAAATAACGAAAACAAAAATCATCGTTGAACTTAAAGTCATTAAGGTACATTGTGGTTTTTATTGTTTTATAGTGTTTTTATCGCTTAAGTGTTGAAATGGAATTTTGAACAGAATAATATAGATTTGCGGGCAGAACAAGTCAAAAGTGATAGCAGTCAAATTAATTGAATTCGTTCTCCGAAATACAAAATCAAAGGTATGCGTTGAGTTAAAGTGCATTGTGTAGAACGAAAGGATTTGATCAGGATCAGTGAATAGGTATACAGCGACATGTGGATTAAACTTCAACTAATAACGCTTTCTTCCATTGAAAATAACGCGATGTGTACATATACTTAGAACTCTGCAATTGTAACGGAAAAAAATTAAATATATTTTTTATTTACTGAGTGACAGCTGGAATATAATATTATTAAATTGATTGACCTAAAGAGAAGCTCATACCTAGTGTGAGAGTTCTTCTGAACTTGCAATTTTAAATGGTTGTATTCGTTTTATGATTTCGTACGAAGTATTTCAGATGTTATTTGATCTATGATAATATGGCAAACGAAATATTTGAGTCGTACATACATCCAACTGATAAAATAAGATTTCTATAGGTGAGGTGTTCTAGTTAAGTTGTAATAAATTAATTTACAAAATTCTAGGGTTAGGTACAATAGTATCCAGTTATTAGTTTACGCGTTTGACGATGTAAATAAAATAATGTTTGTAAACTTGGCTCGTTTCACTGAAATTAATAGTTGCAGACTCAAGGATTGTATTTTATTTAAATAATCAAATACTATGACGTGTATTGTGTATAATACTATTATATGATTGCGAGTAATATTTGCGATTATTTTTTAATTGTTATTTGTTAAAAAAATTTTAAAATTAGCAATATAAATTATATGGCGTATTATGAAAATATGTTCAGTTATTGGGCACTGAGACCTAGCGAGCACTCTGTGTCTCGAGTTACTTTTCATTAAAATAGTTATTAACTATAATATATTCGGTATGTGTTGAGAAGTGTCTAATGGAATAAAACATATTTTAAAGAGTTCTATTCATAACTACAAGCCTGGGAAAAATTATATTTTACAGTTTCTGTGTTTTAAGTTTGTTAAATATTTTTTAATAATTTTACTTTTATTATTAATTAGTTGTACTATTAAATGTTCAACAATACTTGAGTAAGGTTATAAGTATATCATTTAGTTTTAATTGTTTTTTAATTAGTAGTATTTTTATTGTTTTATTTAGTTTTTGATACTAAAAACTAGATTTGGGCGTACAGTAAAATAGTTGTAAGAAAATATTAAAATATTTACATTATTCATACAGAAGTTGTAATTAAAATTAAAATAAATACATAATATTACATAAGTCACCTTATTAGAATAAGTCTAGGTCCAAATCCAGACATCAGAATCATCAACTTTAAAACAGTAAAAATATCAAATTTAATATAGCCAGCCAATATTTAAATAAACCAATATCTAAATATTTTATTTGAAACTGTAATTTTTTTCTCCTCTTTAAATATGTTAAGCACTTAGTCTTCGAAGCAGAAACTATTACAATTTCGAGACTTAAACAAAAAATCTTTATATTTTATTTAAATTGTATTTTATTATTCATATTGTAAGCAGATATCAAGTATTATGGACTGTTATAAAATGTATGTGGAAGAAGTTATCATATCATATAATTATTATTTTCTTGTTTTATTTTTAAAGTTATTTCAAACTGACAGAATATACTTCTGAAAAATGATTTTAATTTGTTATTATGTCAACTTGAGATCGTTCAGAAAACGTTTTTTTTTTAAATTGAGTTCCCTAACAATATATTTGATTTGAGTATTTATAATTTATGAAATTTTAAATGTTGTTTATTCAAAATTGAAATTGAAAATTTTAAAATTTGACTTGATGGGTTCAAGTAGACACATTTAAGTGTTCAAATAATTTTCAGATGTTAAATCGTATTAATATGTATATCAATAGGATTGAAAAAGCTTTTTTCTTGAGTACATATTAGTACTGCGATGTTGCAGTGGTTATTTGTAAGTGCGAGTGCGGGAACGCTCCACTATTTCTTTTGGACAGGGCACACACATCAAAGATCAATTACTAAGCACACATGTACACACTTGGAAAATCGCCCATGCATTGAGCTCTTCAAAAACGGTCGCTTTTGAATCCTCTTAATGCATTCGGTAATACAAAATTAGTAATACGGCGTCATGGATAGGCAAACTAGGTACTTCACGCTTCAGTGGGTTTATTTTATCGCTATCCCATGTTTCTTTTTTTTCGACAGAAAATTATGTAAGTCGGTAACTATGTAAAAATAAGACAATATAACAGGCAATTGTTTGAAAAGCGTTGCATGTGGATTGTACGTTTGCCGGCCATTTAATGCTGTAGACTCCAAATAAATGCTCACGAAACTGCTACTCTAGTAATCCACGCCACTTTATATAATATAATAAAAATGAAAATGTTACTACAAATTAATTGCCGAAGTTCATAAAATCATAAATATTTAATATAATCTATTAAATATTCATGACTAAAAATGTAAAAAGACTATTTTATTAGACACATTATAGTTATTCACTTTTATTTATTTCAATTTTCAATACGAAATAAATTTGAATACGTCAGTAAAAACATGAATTAATTAAAATCAATGTAATTTATTTTTAAACTTTTTGTTATGAGCAAAGACCATCTAGAAAATCTTTCATTAAAAAAAAAAACATGTGCAAAATGTCAAAATTATTCCATTACCTAATTAATTGTAGTAAAACATTGTTTTCGTAACTTTCGTCAGATTCGTTAAGTAGTAATTACGAATACTAATAAATTAAAACTTTTATTACAAAACGCGTCATTATTAATATTATTATTAAATTACTTATATAAATAAAATAATGGTATAGATATACCAAACTTCGAGGAATTAGACGTTGGTGTTCGAGGAATTGGTGGTTTTTTCCCTCTTGAATTGTCTTAAATGTTCGAAGCCATCATTACTAGACTAGAATCGGCCAAATAAAAATTTCACATAGTTTCATAATGAACAAAAAGAGCGTCCTTGTAAGCACTGCTGGTAAGGTTCTTATTGATATCAAACATATTTTCTCCGAGTACTATTTATAAGTCCACGAAAAAGAAAATTCTATGCCTTCGGAATCTCTCGCTGCATCATTCCGAATGATTCATTCGATCAAGACCCTAACTCTATCTCAGCCCCGATAAAATTCACCGCCAACGCCGATCTACCCAACAAGACATAACTCTCCCTCAATTATACATTTAGTATTTAGATGGACTTATTCTTTACTAAAAATTCTATAAACATTTCGACATTTTGTAGCTATTTTTAGACACATTAAATTAAATAGACTGAAGTTTTTTTTTCTAGGTCGTAAAACTTGAAATGGTAATTTAAGGTCTTTCACTATTCAAATATGTCAATAATACGTAATTATAAACAGTTTTATTACAAACATTCGATGAAATTAAATATATAATGTAAATGAAAAACAAAAATGTTTTTTCAAACGATTTTAGCCATTGTGTTGTATTTAAAAACACATTAATCGCAGAGACTTGAAACATTAACCTATAGTATTAAGTTCTACGAACAAAAACATTTTCAAAATATTTAGATTAATTTTAAGCTATTTATACCACCCAACTATTCTATTCTTACTATTTAACGCGATTACGGAGTATTGGCTTAAAAGTTAGTAACAACTAGTCATATTAAAATATGAAATAATGTTACCTATAATAATAAATTAAAATATATTGTATCTTCTCTAAGACCCCCGTTTATCATATCCTATTATTTATCATTGAATTCAGATTTAACACATTTATTACCTAACTATTCATTGACAAGGTACTTGAATACAGCACATCGACTTACCTATTTTTTTTTTATATTGACACTTTTCACTCCAAGAGATGGATATGCCTTTTATGTATTTGTGGTATACGTATGTAAACACGTGTCAGTGTAATTCTAAGTCAAACTCAAAGATTTTTTTTTATAACTCTCACTATAAAAAATAAATAAAACAATCGATATTTCTTATCTATTGATTAACACGAAATACAATTTTAAGTAAATGTGTGAGATATATATTTTTTTTTCGTCAGTTGCTGCAGTGGACCTCTGCCAAAAGAAATGCTCTTTTGAATGGTTTGTTTTTCATATCAAATCTTCCTCTATTGTATCATCAACACCCACTCATCCCACTCTTAATATAATTAAATTATATTAAATTTTGTATTTTATACTTTTTCTATGGAACAATCTACAAATAAAGTAAAATAATGTAGATGGGTTTTTGAGTTGAGCGAGTAGTGGGCGAAGCGTTTATACTTTATTGTCTTATGATGGCATAATATAAAATGCTATGTTTTTTTTGGAAAAATTAGTTCAACCGACCATAATATTACTGATAGAAAAATAAATTAATAATATAGTAAAAACAGTGGAAGTTCTTAATGTTTGAGCAGGATGCGGATAGGTACCTATATATTACTTGTTGTTGGAACGTAGGAGAAATTACATGGTGAGACATATATATCATAAGACTTGCTGATCAATTTTATATTATAACATGGAACTTTTTTTACATTTTCATTTTATTGAAGTAAGAGAAAGAAGAAATTGGAGGAAATTCATGTACAATATTTAAAAAAAACATGAAATTTTCAATTGAAATTCAATATTTTATTAAAACTGTATGACTCTTTGATTTATTTCTGATCTATTTGAATATTACGAGGATAAATTAATTTAAAATCATGTGTCTTATGTTTATTCATTATAAATATTATTATAATAGACATAATATAAATACGTGAATTCATTATTTTTTCCACTTCTATAAGAACATAATAATATGTAATACAAACAAATAGTACAATAATTATTAACAGAAAGTAATTATATACATATTTATATGTTCTTATTTGACTTTTACCATGCAATGTTATAATATTATAAATATTTGATTTCTCTTCCACA